GAAATCTGCATTAGGAAAAGGTTTCCACAAATTCCCACAAGATCATGTTTTCAATTCAAATCTTTGGGATCAATCTTCACTGTTAACTCTACCAAACAGGCTGCAGCAGAATGACTAAATGAATGGTATTGACCCAAAAATTCTCTTACTCACTTCCTGTTCACTACCTCCACTTTCTTGCTGCTGTCCTCTCCAAACCCTTCTGCTTGTCATCGCTCTCCAATTTTCCATGTGGAGCCCCTTTCTTGCTTCCCTCCAACACAACACTTCCCTGCAACCCTCCTGCTTGCCACCAACTTTTCCAGTGTTATTGTCCAACACCCCTCCCTCCTGCTCATCACCTTCCTCTCCTGAGCCACAAAGAGTCACAAGGGAGGAAGCAGGGGAATGAGAAAAATGAGAGAGGAAATGAGAAAAATGAGAGGGGCAATAAGATAAGTAAGAACTGATCTCAAAAACTTAAGGATTCTGTACTAGTTTTCCCCTGGAGAATCTAGAACATAGGAGCAGAATCTCAGGCTAATGGGCCAGATGTTCTAGAGAGAGAGTGGAATTTTATCCACTTAATTTTGTGGATCTTTGGTATATTCTGCCCCAGAGGATTGTAGGTGCTCAAATCAATCAATCATCGGCAACATTTAATGCTGAGATGAGGAAGTTAGGGATTTAGGGGAGATCATTCACAATCATATTCAACAGCAGGAAAATGGAGGGGGCCATGTGGTTAACATCTGTTCCTATTTCACATGCTACTTGAGATTATAACAGGCTGAAAATCCAAGGAGGAACTTTTGGGTTGATATAGCACAGTTCAACAACTGTCGGTGTCTCTCAGCATTCACGCCATCACAGAACTGAAGTCTGACCCGTTGAAAAGCTCCAGGTTGAAATCTTAGGCATTTTAAATGCTGGGCCCTTTGCTAATGCACCTCACAGACATCCCTGTACCACTTTCTCACTTGCCTTGCTAAAGTTGCCTCTCACCCGGATGATGAGCACAAGAACCCACTAAATAATGAAATGTTCTCGGAGGATCTAAATAAATGCAAATAGGTGTACTTGTATGCATTTGAATCTATATATGCAAAGAGTAAGTTGTCTTGAAACTGGTTTATGAGAAGAATGGTTTTCTAAATCATAGCAGCAGCAAGGAAATGGAAAGCATGCATAAATGAGGTTACAGATCAGGTAGTACATACATCATTGCTGGCAGCATTCTGCAATTTGCTGGGCGGTGAACTGGTAGATCTTTGAATCGTAGACACAGCCAGACTGAAGTCAGAATCCTAAAAAGAAAGCAAAACGAATAGTCTAACGCTATGACACTTAAAATTACTGAGTGCCACTCCATTAGAATATTTTGGCAAAAGTCAGCACCTTGCCCAAGCTACACGAAGAGACAAAATATTAGGAACAGTTTTTGCAGAAGGAAAATATGCATTAAATAGAGACCTCAGCACACCAATCTGCAGCATCTCTACATGCAGATTATGTCTGCCTTCAGGTTACATCTGCCTGTTCTAGCACACTGATCATCAAATCCCTTCCTGCTGATCCAATCAAATTTACTGAAAGACATAGGCCTAGAAACTTCCTTATAACTGTGACAGTATGCCAACAGTATTATTAATTCCTCCCCCACCCACCATAAATCAGCCTCATCCTTTGTGAAACAACATTGATTCATGTCACTATCCTACAAAATTAATTCTGTTTTTCAATAAAATGAATCTTGTGCACGCTTCAAGAGACCCCCACTCAAGGCCAGCATTGTTAGTTGCAGATGAAACTCGAGGTGCACTGGCCATTATGCAGCCAATTCTACATCAAAAATATGATCCACCTCATGTTTTTGGTGCAACTGATTGATCAATTGATAGTTGAATATTGGGTAGAATTGACATGATGAATTCTTGCTTTTTAGATATAGCCATGGGATCTTCGAAATCTGCTCAACCAGGTGGATGGCATATCTGACAAGACAGCAGTCAACTCAGTGCAGTCACCTCAAATTTACACGCTTCAACCTTGGCATTGGACCACTATGATCGGAGATGAGGAGACATTTCTTCACCCAGATAGTGGTACGCCTGTGGAATTCTTTGCCCCTGAAAGCAGTTAAGACCAAAATATGGAATGTTTTCAAGGAGTTAGAGGTAAAGAAGAAAACCAGGGAATTACAGACTAGTTAGCCCAACATCTGTGATGGGGTCTATAATTAATAATGGAATAACAGTGACTAATCAGGGAGAGCCAGCTTGGATTCATGACAGGTAGGTCATGCCTGACAAATGTCATTGACTTTTTCTTTGAAGTGGTGACGAAGTGGAGAAGGAAATGTCTATGCATGTTGCCTGTATGGACTTCCAGAAGGCTTTTGATAAAGTCCTAAATAAGACTGTTAATTAAGATAGAATTATGAATTATGACACGACTGGGAAATTGGTAGAGTGGCAGGTGACAAAGTAGGAATAAAAAGGCTAGCAGCCCAATGGTATCAATGTGGATTTCACAGGTTTCAAAATCTCCCCTCCCCCTACCGCATCCCAAATCCAGTCCAGCTCGTCCCTGCCTCCCTCCCACCTATCCCCTCCTCCCACCTCAAGCCGCACCTCCATCCCCTACCGACCAACCTCATCCCGCCCCCTTGACCTGTCCGTCCTCCCTAACTCCCCACCTACACTCACCTTTACTGGCCCCATCCCCGCCTCTTCGACCTGTTTGCTTCCTCTCCACCTATCCTCTCCTCTATCCATCTTCTATCCGCCTCCCACTCTCTCCCTATTTATTTCAGAACCCCCTTCCCCTCCCCCTTTTCTGATGAAGGGTCTAGGCCCGAAACGTCAGCCTCTCTGCTCCTATGATGCTGCTTGGCCTGCTGTGTTCATCCAGCCCTGCACCTTGTTGTCTCGGATTCTCCAGCATCTGCAGTTCCTACTATCTCTTAGGTTCTCAGATTGGTAGGATGTGACCAGTGGTGTCCTACAAGGATGTTAGAGCCTCAAATACTTGCATTTACTGACAAATTGGATAACGGCATAGAAATTTGCGATTGACAAAATGTTAGGCATTGTTCACAGTGTAGATAACAGCATACAACTACAAAAAGATATTGATAGACAAACAGGCAAAACTGTGGCAGATAAGAGTTGAATGTAAGCAAGTGAGAGGTTATCCATTTTGGACCAAAAAGGATAAATCATGGTACTTTCTAGATGGTATGAAGTTAAATACAGTCAGAGAGACTTGGAGGGTCAGGTGCACAGATCTTTAAAATATCACAAACAGGTGCAGAAAATAATCAAGAAAGCTAATGGAATGCTGGCCTTTATATCTAGAGGATTAAAGTACAAGGACACAGAAGTTACGCTGCAGCTAAACCCCGGTTAGACCTCACCTTGAGTACAAGAGCAAATTTCAGCACCACACCTTTGGAAGGACATACTGGTCTTACAGGGAATACAATATAGGTTGACATGAATGATGCTTGAACTTCAGTGGTTAAGTTGGAGGAGAGATTTGGTCTGTTTTCTCTAGAATTTGGAAGGGTAAGGGGTGATCAGATCGAAGTCTTTAAGATGAACAGTGAAACAGGATTGAGAAATTGAATGGCCTAACCCTGTTCCTATGCCATAGGGAGAAAGCAGAAATGCCCCCGCATAGATTAGCAGCCATGATCATATTGTATAGCAAAACAGACTAAGTGCTGAAGGGCCTATTCCTGGTCCTACTTTCTATGATCCAGAGGCAAGAATGTCAATACAGCCAACAACACATGTTGATAGGGTTTACTGAAAAGGTGGCCAACTTCTCAGTATTCATCCAATGCCATACATTCTACCTTGATTGTCAGAAAGTTTATTAAATCATCAACATTAACAAACCAATGTAGAAAAATGCAGTTAGGCTATAGCTGATTTGTTACTTAACTGAACAGGCTTGAAGGATCAAACTTATTCATTTCTATGTTTGCATACTCCGCTTTTCAAACAAAGGACCCAATAAATTTATTTTCACTTTTATTTGTCTCACCCATCCTTAAATTCCTGATTCTATCTTGACTTTCACACTTGCTTCTTCCCTTCTGCTTGGATTTCCTCTTTACTTTCATACCTCAAGTACTCTGGGGGAACACAATACTTGATATGGATGCTGAACTGGTTACTGCCAATGGATTCTGGTTCAACTCTAGGCAAAAGTCTTAATCTGAGCATTAAGCAAAACAAAAAGAAAAAAATATCAATTGACTCACCTTTGCACTCACTCCAAACTGGATAGGCGGTACAGTGACTTCAGTCTCCAGTAGCAAGTCAGGATCCGGTTTGGATTTTGGTCTGCTGTTTATTGAAAAGCCAACAGTCTTTGCAGCTGGTTCGGGACTCTCTTTCTGCTGTACTTCTCTTGCCTTTTTATTTTTTAGTGAACGTTCATTTCCTATTGGTCCAGGTTTATGTTCTTTACTCAGCTCGCTGGCAGACTCCTGAAACTTGATGAATCAGACTTTTAATGTATACTTTGTTTATAAAAAGGACAAAGAATCAACCTAGCACTAACATTAATAATCAAGAACTCACGTAAGGTTATTTAATCCTCTTAATTAAGAAGTCTATTTAAATAACTCATCAGAATTGCCACACATGCCTTGACCATTACTGAGAACATCATAAATCTTTTTCTCAATTAACCAAGCTATGATTTGATATGAGACAACAAGGTGCAGGGCTGGATGAACACAGCAGGCCCAGCAGCATCATAGGAGCAGAAAGGCTGACGTTTCGGGCCTAGACCCTTCATCAGAAAAAGGCTTTTTCTGATGAAGGGTCTGGGCCTGAAATGTCAGCCTTTCTGCTCCT